AAACACTCTTTGTCTTCTCACAAACGCACATTCTGAGCCGTGCTCTGTTTTAATCGCGTTACATTCAACCTGCAGGCAATGTGGAATTGCTGCTAAAACGATCAGCCTTGCCAAAGAGCTGCTATGCTGCAGCTGACGTTGAAAACATTCATTGTAAGTGTGATTATGTAAGACGTAGTTCTCGCTATAACGAAGACTTGACAGTAATCAAAATAGTGTCCTCCCACAGCGCAGCCGCGGCTCTTTTGAAGGCAGTGGCCTACTTTGTACACTTCTCTTCTCAAGGTCTTGATTTAATTTCGGAATGAAACGAGAAGTGCTGTGATAACCTCTTCTGGCCAGCACAGACGTAGCATGCCTGCTTTGAGATTATCTCTCAGGGCGGCACAGCAGAGGACATCCCTTAAATCAGAAACACGCAGTGAGCATGTACTGTCGAAATAGTGGGCCGGGGACTCTGGGGGAGGCTCACTCCTCGCTGTGGGGCCGTCAGATTCATTCTTTTCTTGCCATATCGTTGTTGCCTGTCTTCGCGCAAACCATGGGGGGGGGGGTGCTTAGTGCCCAATAATAATTACATTCAAGTCGTGTAGCTCGCCGTGTGTTTTCCCTTCAATAACACCCGCAGGCGCCCTGGTTGCTCACCGGGTCGACTGCAGTGGGACGGGTTCAAGTCAGGCCCAAAGCATGTCATGCCCTCTCTCTCTCTCTCTCACTCTCACTATAAATAAAGTAGATCCTCCCTCTCTAATTTAAAAAAACAGTCAAATACCAGTGACAGTCTGAGAAACCGTGTAGGTCAAAGTCATAAACAACACTTATTGCTGTTATGAATGCATTTCCCGATTCATTGAAGAATTTTATCCAAACTGAATCGTAACATATTACGTTTAGAAAGAAAATGTTACTTATACATGGATGTACGGACACAACAGCGATCACAGACTCTTTCAGATTGTACCAGTACTTGAGTTCCCAAACAAGCATTTCAATCAGGAGAGGCAAGTCGGATAAAGCAAGATAATTGTTTATTGTTAATAGATGATGTGTGATCATAGTCTTCTGAGTCTTTGCCGATCGGACTCTACGGGGAGATTTGTATTCCACGGACATCTGCCTCGACCGAATGACAACTCCAAACAATGACTGCAAGGAAATAATGATAATAATGCTTCCTTTTCATCCCGACATCCTTCTGAGCCTGAAGGACGGACGTGTCCTGCGGGTTTGAAATGCATTCGCTGCGGTGTTCGCTGTTTTATAAATGTAGTTGGTCGTGTTTTTGAAGCCTGTGAATGGTGAATTGACGGACGTGTGAGGAACTTAATAATTTCTCCTTTTGTGCCTTTCAAGGGGATTTATTTTGTGTGAATATGTTCTCTCAGTTATATCTGTTTAGTTCTACATAGTTGTAAAATTGCATTGGGTTGTCTTGACCTCCAGTGGCAGTCAGATGAAACATTGAGTAAAGCAAAACACATGTCCAGGCAAAATATCCCACAGTTTGGAGCCAGAAGTTTGAAGGGTGAAACCTCTCACCTGCTCTGTCCGTGCTCTGTTCGCACAAAGAACAAGACAAAAATTATTCTCATCAGCAAGTTCCTGTGTCGAGCAGCACAAACAGAGGCCGATTTCAAGCATTTCTCTTTTTTTATCGCAATGCGAAGCTTTCTGGTCTGCAGGCTTTGGCTGTTTTCCGAGCTCATAAAAGATGCATTCTCCTCCGCTATGCATGGAACACGACCCGCGGAAGAATCACTCCTCAACTTGTTTGTATTCATAGAATCTGGAGTCAAGGTCCTGCCAATTCTAAGACCGATTATTGAAATAGCCGCTATGCTGAAAGGGGCAGAGCAAGCATGTCGAGAAGAAGGAGCATCTCAGTAATGGAAGGTTCCCTTCCGTATAGTACAGTTACCTTTGCTTGGAGTTTTGAGATCACTAATCTATGTTGTTGATCTGGGATAATGGGGTTATGATGCTTTTCAGTACGGCAGATCTTATAATGTGCAAGTTGAACGTGATACCAAATTGCCTTAATGGCAGAACAACGCGAAAGCCCAATGTGGCCGAACAGTGAATTAGTTTCCATCTCTTGTACATTCACAAACTGCATCAATATTAAATCAGAACAGCAGAGTGGTGATCAAGTGTAGGCATCACAAGAGTGATATGTCATTATTCTAACCCTTCAGTTACCTGCATTTCTGATAAACAAGTTACAAAAGATTACCATCGTTATTCCGTTGGTGAGCACAACCGTCTGAATAATGGAATATGATTACCGGCGGGAACATCATTTTTCATTCAACCTGCTGTGAATACCTGCCATTTGAAGTTTAATGAGCATCTTGTGTCGTATTGTCAGGGTTTTGTTGAGGGATGTCCTCAGGCCACCCCATTAATCTCTATCAGACAAGGACACGTCAGCCAGCTCGCTCGGTACGACTGTCTGTCTGTCTGTCTGTCTGTCTGTCTGTCTGTGTGTGTGTGTGTGTGTGTGTGTGTGTGTGTGTGTGTGTTTGTGGAGGGTTGCCAGGTGTTTGGCAGTACAGCTGCTTAAGACTTGATCATCCTTTGGTCTGTTTCTGAAGGGTTTCTCAGACCTTCAGAACGGGGAAAAGTACCTGGACATAATCACACAAACACATTCCACCAGAAAGAAACTGTCTAATTGGCTGCATCACTAAACGTGGTCACAACATAGAATTCCATCTTTGATTGCTCAAGAATCAAGAAACATCTGCAGAACTATTTTCCCACGTGACCTTCAGAACCTCACAAGCATGTTCACCTTAGTGGTGATGTATTGGCTCGACATCTCGTTTACTGAGAATGGGATCGCGGAGCCATGATTAAATTCTTAATGAATGATTCATGACCTAAAATGAAATGGACATTTTAATTTGGCAACAATCATCGCTGGACAGGTATAATCTCTACATCAGAATAAATAAATAAAAAGAGTGAATTTAGGGGTGTTAATTGATACCTTGAGAGTTCTACCTGCCTGGAAGAATCTATAGGTGCTGTTTATCATACAAACTTGTTCATCACATGTGCTTATTAAGGAACCCTATTTTCCACAGCTCTTGCCCGTTGAATTGTAGATTCCTCTCCTTGCATTTAAGCAAGCGGAGTTTGCTGTTTGATGCTGTGTCTCTAAGCCCGCGCCGTCTGCACTGCACAACATATTGCAAACTCGCTGCCGTGTTGATGTTGGTGGAAGTATTTTGAGGAGGGCAGGATTTAGTTTTGTGCAAAACAAACAGATGGGACGAAATCTTGACCCACTTCTTCATCTGGGCCACTCTGAATAGAAAAGAAGGATGAAAAAGAAAAAGAGCTGTGGGATGAATTCTACTGTGTGAGTGAACACAAAATGCATAAGATACAACTTTTTGTCATTGAAACTCATTGTTTCCTCCTGGTGTTCCTCTTCCTATACCTCCACACTCTTTGCACTTTCACTTTCAACGCCATTTGAGTGACTGATTTGGAGAAATCTTTCATGTGGTTGAGAAAGGTCTCGATACTTCAGGAATCCTCTCAGCTGCCACCCGGTTCCTCTGTGTGGTGTTTGCATGGAGCTGCTTGGCCTTGTGATAAATGACCTATATTTTAAGATGCCAGCAGGGTCAGCTCTGCCACATCAATCATGACCGCTTTATGCTTTATGCCCCTAATGAAGAGTGAGGAAATTGATTGCATTAGCAGAGGGGTAAATATCATCTCGTGGGTTAACTACGCATAGGTTGTTTCATAATGTATTTAGCAGCAAGCCTACAGAGTTATTTCATTTGCAAACCTTGGATTGGGTATATTTTAACAGCACTGCAACTGCTGCCATTACCCTCCAGAACGATAACACATTATAGTTGTCAGTATCATATTTGAACACGACGAGCAGCAATCCGCGCTGAACCTGGGGGGAGGTAAACATTTAGGCTTTCATTTAGGCTCTTTGTTTGAATAAACAAACCACCTTGACGCTAATTGTAGTTGCACACGTGATATAATTGCGTAGGTCAAAGTGAACACTATCTTTAAATACGGTCGCAGCTGATGACTTGAAAGGGTTTGCTATTATACCCCACATGCATTTAATTTACCCTCCCATGCCTGTTTGACAATGTGACGTATTAACTGTTGAAATAATTGCCTGTTTGTTGGACCTTGGGGGCTCGATGAACTGGTTATTATTTTGCACACAGACGGGAATAGAAACATGCAAATGGCCTTACGGGCTAACACATGTCAATGGGAGCGGTGCAGCACCTCGGACAGCGCAGAGGCTTCCCAGGTGGTTCGCTATCCGTGGTTCTGAAATTCAGCTGAATTCCTGGATCAGAATCTAGTGTTTCTACACATTGAGTGACATCTAAATCAACTTGCATACAGCCTTCCAGCTCCAGCCTCTGCATTAAGCTGAGCTTTTGAACTCACCACACCTCAAACAGCGGGTCAGGGATGTCTAAAATGAACTTCACAAGCTCGTTTTTGGCACGTTTTATCGTTTTAATACACCACTGAACCAAAGCCCTTCCAGTTGCTGTCCAGGAATGTTCTGTTCATCCTTGGCTTGAGACGCCCACTCAGTTCTTTTATCAAGTATCACGCTCAAAGACAGCTCAGCAGGTGGGATGCAGCGGGCATGTCTACGTCAGCCACCTGCTCGCCATCTCATAGGACACACACATGAGCAAGTCGCTAAGACATGGCTCGTTGTACAACGTTCAACACAACACAGCCTTATGCACGTGCATATAATCTTATAGGATGCTCCGTGCATGTCTGATAAATCGCCTTCTTGCTGTAACATAAAAGCCCACTGAACCACACGCTGCTGCTGAGTCTATTCTCTGCATAAGGTCCATGCAAGCCTTCCCACCAGGCTGTTAAGGCTGTAACCGCCGCCCCCCTCCCCTCCTACCCCCATCTACTCCCCCTCCCTCTCTCTCTTCCTCTCCTCCTCCACATTCAGTGCTCCCTCTTGCGCGCACGGCGAGCAGCAGCAGCAGCGGCAGCGGCAGCAGCGGCGGTGGTTCCAGCGCTTCTCTGACGCACCACCGGAGATGAGCATCCCGCTCCCACCGGCTGTCAAGGCATCTCCGCCTCGGACCTCCGCTGTCAAGCTTTCAACGCCATCCTGTTTGTTTTTGGCCACTGTTACCCGTGTCGCTTCGCTGCCACCTAGTTGTGTCACATCGAGCAGTTGAAAGCCAGCGCTTGGCTTGGAATTTACTTCGGAGGTGATTTTGTATCCGCAGCGGCTGTCAACGGGAGTGATTGATTCCTGTCCACACTCACTGGGGTGGAGAGGGAGGGGGGGTGGGGGTCTCCTCCTTGTTCGGGGCATCCTTCAGAACGTTGTTGTGCTTCTGTGATAGGTGGTTTAATTCAAAGGTGAAAGAGGAGGCGGAGAACCGTTTGGATGACGGACACCGAAACGCAATAACGCGGATCGCTGGAATATTCTCACAGAGGTGCCGCTACAGACAAGACATATTTTTCTTCTCCTCAGTTGGCATTCATAATCCGCACGACGAGTTTGCCCACTGCAGGGGCTGCTGCGGCTTTCGCGTCTGCTCTGCCCTGTTTTTAATACTATTTACTTGAGCATCGGGCGTCAAAGCATCCCGGACGAGCTTGCGATGCCCAAACAGTGAGGGGAGGGGTGGGTGGGGGGCACAGTGCGGGCATTGCATTTTGGTCACCAAGCGAGGTAGCATGGCTCCAGCCCGGAGGGACTGCAGCGGCTGTGGGATGATCCTCCCGACGGGATGCCTGCTCCTCTCTGTTTTGCTCTTCCACCCTGCCCTGGCCAAGGTGTGCAACGACCGCACCAAACACGGGCAGGACAACAGCTGGTTCGCCAGGGACGGGGAGAACTTGCCCATTATGGTGCTTATGCCCATGAACGAGTCGGCCCTGATGAGCAGCATCAGCCAGGGGATCGAGCCCGCGGTGCAACTGGCCATCCAGCACATACGGGAGTCCAGGAAGTACTCGTTCTCCCTCATCACCAAAATCTATGACACCGAGGTAAACCTGCAGAGCAAATCCTCCCACTAAGCTGCTGCTGTTTGGGCTCCGACTGGTTTGGAACACTTGTATATAGCTTGTGGGTGAGCGCGCATGTGTGTGTGTGTGTGTGTGTGCGCGCGCCGCGTGCTTGTGAATGTGAACGTGCGCACTGGCCCGCAGCGCCCCACACATTGTGCGTCCAAGGGGAAACGCTGGTTCTGGTATGTTTCGCATGTGGACAACTTGCATTTCTTTTTCGTTGCGCAAAATCCCACCTCCCCAACCCCCCCCCCAAAACCCATGCCCGCCCCCCTGCCCCCTCAATGACAGCACGTTGTTAATGCCCACATCTGAGCCTCCTCTGTCTTGCTGCTGTCGCTCGTCGTTGACGGTGAATAGTTACCCGACATGTTAAGACAGCGCGCCACCCGGTTTCTCCAAAGTCTCTCAACCGCGCTCTTTTTTTTGTTATCGTCAGTTCATAAGACGTGTGTTTGACTGAAGATGCCTCTGAGATATCAATATTTTCAGTCACGAATCAGTGTATCCTTTAACGATTCCAAAGCTGCTTCTCGTCGTGCCTGAAGATGGCGGTAATTGGGTGTGCGCCTTCGTCAGACTCCCTGCACCTTTCTCAGGAATCTCCTCGCGTTCCAGCTCCAGAAGAGCATCTGTTTAGCAACAAAAACATCAATAATTTACCTCTCAGGTCAAAGTCCCCGAGGTTCAGTCGTAACGCAAATCACTGCATGATTTGATATTGTAGGTGTTCACTTTATGGCTTATTTGGGCTTTAATTATTTGGACCATGCCAGCAGTGCTCATAGAGGCCTCGTATAGTGATTGAGGTGCCTTTGAGGACACAATGCAATTGGGGAGTTTGAAGCATGCTGCATCATAGAGTTGCCATGCCAACACATAACGATGGTGACAGTTTGACATGTCTGCTTTTTCTAATGCTCTTATTACATTGACTTGCTACTAAAATACATTAACACTACATACAAGTACATAATAAGATGTTTTTCCTGTCCAGCACCTATTCAGTTCAGTGTAAGTGCACAGGCGTGTCTCTGTGCGAGAGCACACCCATCACTGTTGACAGAGGTAAGCCCCCACAGGCGGCATGCGCTCAGGCCACGGGATTAATATGCTCTTATGAGCGTTTTGATTTTTTTCTCTTTCTGCTCCCGGGGACGGAAAGACGAGCTGCAGGCAAGAGGCCGATGGGCCAACGTGACATCCGCCCGCTAGGGGTGTTAAATAGTGATGCCAGCTTCACGAGAAAAGTGTTGTTTGATGACTCTGGGGTTCAGTGTTGCATCTGTCCATCCAATGGCAGTAGTTGTGTATACAGACCAGCTGAAATTCCACCTTCCAACCATGTTTTTGGAAAGATCAAAGTCAAAATATTCAACGCTTTGTTTAAAACCATGTGTTGGGTGCAGACCGTTGTTTAAATATTCTACTAAATGTATTGTGACAGACAAGTGTTAGTCTGGTAGGTGTGGTTTTAATAAGTCTGGGAAGAAAATGGTGTAACAGCACTTTAGAGTATATTCACAAGACATTGTAAATCCTTTGGCACAAGTAAACACTGAACCAAAGAGAGCCCTGTGAAGTGAAATGGAAATATATTGCTGGATATTGTTATTATATATTTACAGACAATAAGAGTCTGAGTCTGTAGCGGGGAAAAGAAAGATTTCAATAACATCCTCAGGCATGACAAACTATTATTGTTTTTTCAAATGAAGTGGAGCACTCTGCATGTGGACATGTGGATACCTTTCCCCAGGACAGAGCATGTGACGTGGACCGCGTTGCTTTCGGAGCCTCTGACACGGAGCGCTAACGTGAAGCTGGCGGATTAAAGTCTTTGAGTGCACACACATTGCACACAGTTTCCTACATACTACATGCTCATGTCGGAAAACAATGCACGCATCTGTGCGCTGCGTCTGGAGAAGTGTGCGACTGTTGTTACACACACGTGTATGTGTATGTCGGGGTGCCGGGATTTAGCCTGGCAGATGTAAGTAATCGGCCCCTGAGCAGCGTCTCTTTATCCCTTTATCCCCGTTGGTGGAGCCGTGGGCAGCCTGAGCAGGCTCGGTCCACCCCGGTGTGGATGGGTGGTACTGGTGCTGATGACGATGATGATGACGACGATGATGATGATGATGTTGCTGCAGGATTAAAGCGGCAGTCACTAGAGGAAGAGCAGATGTCCCGCTGTGGAATGTCGGGCGACCTAATGCAGGCTGCTGTGGAACCAGTTTCATCAGGCCACAGCTAGATTCCTAAGATAAGGTTTCAACATTAATGGCAACGTGGCAGTCGGAGACAAATGCAGGTCTTTGCTTTAAACCCAGGGCATTGCAGGTAGAACAGAAGCAGGATGGATTATATCAACTGGGAGGCTTAGTGCTGGAGTTGGTCCTCCACTCCGCAGCTCTAGATGTGTGAGTGTGGGTTTTAGTGTAACCGAGGAATGATACTGTAACTCTGCAGGCTTAGAGGATCACAGCTTTGGAGAGGTCAGGAAGGACGGGAAGAGGATGGAAGGGAGACTTCGGGGCAGTGAGAGCGTTCTAAGCCACGCTAGCTCACGCGACCGACTTTCCATGTGTGACAGACCTTTGAGAGCAGCCACTCACGGAAGGAGCTCCTCTTTTAACACAGCGTTTTACGTAGAGGCATTCATTGTGTTCACGGTAATCCACCAAAACTGAGAAATCAATATCATTGAGCGTGAATGGATTCATACACACTGTTAGTATAGCAAAGTAATAGTGATACTCTGAGGATTCGGTTGTGGAGTCTGGTGTGTTAATGTTGTTGATGCGGGACTAAGTCGCAAGGACTGTTTGAGGATTAGGAGACAGCATTGTTAAACAGACTGGCTGTATCACACAGATTGAAGGATCGCCATTACAGAATCAATACAACCACCAAGACAGCGTTGTCCTGCAGTTGGAGATCAGATATTGCGCATGCACAGTTCACCAGATGCAACATGCAGATCGGCACTTAAACTGCTCTTCCATTCATGCAACGCTACTGGCCTCCTGAGACTGTGTTAGCAGCGAACTGTGTGCAGTGTGACTGCACACGGACGGCCTCTCCCGCTCCCCCTCCGAGCTCGAGATGCAACATGTCACATTCGTGCTCATGTTGGCACTCGCGAAGGCACCGCACAGTCCACTCGTTCGCAGGAGGAAGCACCCCCCCCCCCCCCCCCCTCCCCCGAAGCGCTTATAAGGGCTTCTGTCATTTTGTACAAAAAAGTTTCATGTTCAGCGAAATGGGTTCCCCTAATGGATGCTAGAGTGGTGCTACGCATAGGTCTCCAGTCAAAACGAGCTGGGTCCGCTTTGAGGAGAATCGGCTTTTACAAACTCTCGTTGGTTTATGGTTTCCAGCCCTTTATGTCATTTACTAATCTTAGTGATTCACCCTCTGTAACTCACCTTTGAGCCTTTTTGTGTAAAACCATCTGACATCGGGCAAATGAAGCTGGACATCTCGTATGTCAGGGTCTCATACTGTACGCCCAATATTATCTTAAGATCTGACTCTGATTCAGCGCTGGGGGGGGGGTGACCCAGGGGGTCAACAAAGATTGCCTTTCACCGCTCCTAACAGGGGGTGAATATGTGGCGATTGTAAGGAAAAGTAGCCTGTGACAGCCTGGGTGCTCTCTGGGCAGAAAGTGCTGAGTGTGGCTGTATCCACTGACCCGACACAGATACTGGGGATCAATGTGCAGCCGCCCTTCTCATAGAATGAACAGGATCTCAGGGGAGAATCAGAGAGAGAGGCGAGAGTGAAAGCGATGTGTGGAGCTATGAGATGGAGATCCCGAAATAGGATTATGTCATCTTCTGAGCAGGAAGAGGAAATGGTCAGTCTCTTATTTGTCATTGGATCATAATGTGATGCTATTTGTGTTGTTTCTGTGACGCTATAGACTTTAATGGCCATGACACAAAAGAAAAAAGCAATTACTGCATGCAATGAGGTGTGCATATTAGATCAGTTAAAGGCTCACGGGATCTTGCATTGTTGTGTGAATAATATCATTTGACTGAGGGGGTCACAAATCTTATAAATGTACTAAATTACAGCTCTAATTACTGACCTTTCTCTCAGTGAGGATGGCAGTGGGCAGTGGGCCGGAGGGCTCAAGGAAGACCACCATAAAACATCAACTTTGCTGATTAAAAGTGTCTCTAAGATGCACTTAAACGGGCTTTGTGACGTCTAAAATGACACACAAATAACATGACAAGTATATACACATTTTACACACGCCACTACACACAGACCTGTCTCCTCCCTTCACACACACACACACACACACACACACACACACACACACATAGAGCAGCATATGGTCTCGGCTGTTTTCAATGGGCGCGCCTGCGGCACTGCCCGAGGTCAGGACCATGTGGTCATTTGAGCAGCGAGACATGAAGTGTTGATCAGTTCCAAATAGAACCACATCAAAATCAAATTGCTTTTATGCAACATCAGTAAGTCGATCCATCCTCGCCTCGCTTTGGGGAGTAGTCAAAAACCCCACCTCACCACAACCAATTTTCATCCATCATCTGGAACCTGTGTAACATGACAAGACAAATCTGTGTGTCATCGTTTTAAATGTTTTACTTCCTTTTTCTTTCCATCCCCTGTGCATTAGACCTCATGCATTAATCACTATGCTCGTTTGCTTAATTGCATTTAAAAAAAAGGGATTTTAGATTTATGAGATTATGGAATACTGTGTATTGAAGAAAACGGCATCAAGGCAATAGAATGGTAGACGGCATAGAAACCATTTATTTCTTCTACAAAAATGGGGTGAAATTCTAGTAATTACTGTTCTTTTTGCCCATCTCTTGTCCACCGAGCCTCCCAAGATATTGGTCCTCTCTGGTATATCACTACCCACCGACCAAAGGCCAATATATTCTCGCTAATGTGTTAACAACACAATGCCTTGTTTGATGTAA